TAGGATCCGTAAATTGGGTTGTCCCAAAATTACGAGATCTACTAGAATCAAACTACTCGTTTTTGCCGTTTTTGGTAATTTTTAGTATTTTCTTAGTTTAATTAGGGTTTTTAGTTTTTTAGTATAAATAGCCTGCCTTAGGACTTTATTTTGGCAAGAATTACGAATTTTAATAAAATATTTAGATTTTTCTCTATTTTTCTGGTGGATTCCAGAGTTTTCTTTATCGTGCTATATCACCAATTAGGGAGGTGGAGTACTATATATAGACGTATAATTTTGTTTGTAAACCAAGCAATTAACATGTAGCATGAATTGGTGAGGATTGCGGCATATGGAAGAGGTGATGGTAATGGTGTATGATTTGTGATGAGAGTCTAGTTTTATTATAAACTCACATTTTATTCAGTGTAAACTCACATTTTATGTTGTTTTATAGTTGTTTGTACAAATAAACTATACATTCTAAGTAATATAATATTCAAATAGCACAAAGTCATTTCTCATTATATCAATCTCAAGCAATTAGAAATTAAATTATTTAAATTTGCATTAATCCTTATTTTCTTTTCTTTTTTCATAAATTATTTAAAGTTGCAAAACAACCTCTTTTTCTCAAAAATATAAAGAAAAGAAAAATATAAATATCCCCATATATATGGGATTTCTTCAAATTATCACATTCAATGAGTGTTTCAAATTCCCCACGTGAAGAACATGCTCTCCCAATGCAACTTTCCTATTCCCCTTCTCATCCACCAAACTCAAATGCTTACAAACATCAACATTGAATCTAACAACCCCTTCTCCTTGTGGCACCAAATGCACCTTCTCAAACCCTAGCAACTGTTTCCGAGGCGCACCGTGCACCTCCGGCGGGCTAGAAAACAAGAGCACCGTGTGGGCCCCGCCCATTCTCCCGACGTTTTTCACGCTCAGATGAACTTCAATTGCGGCGTTGTTCTTGCAGCTACGGCCCGCCGCATCGATGGACCTACACGTTGAAGACCGACAGACGTGGTCTTCTTCCAAGTCCATTGAAACGGATGTTGGAGCTTTGACTAATTTGTGGTCGAATTGAGAGTAGCTTAGCCCATATCCGAACGAGAAGACCGTGGGCCCCTTGTAGAAACGGTACGATCGACCGGGGTAGCCTCTGGTGGGGTCCGCCCTCATGTTCATGTCGGTCATGTTGACCTTTTCCACGTACGATTGAGGGTACCAAGTCATTGGTAGTCTTCCACCTGCAATTGATTTTTTAGTAATCTTCTAATCTTTTATCTAATCTTTCACAAAGAGTTCAAAGTTGAAGGAAAAGAGACTCACTTGGATTATAGTACCCGAAGATGACATCGGCGATGGCGGCACCACCAGCTTCTCCGGGGAAACCAACCCACAAAATGCTCGTGATTTTCGGATCATCCTTTGCGAATTGGACATCCATGCCCCCGCCCGACATTACCACAAGAATCACGGGGCCTTTAGACACACTCGCAACCTGCGAAATCAACAATTGTTGTTGCCCCGGTAGAGTAATGCTCACTCTATCCAAACTCTCACCCTCGATCGATTGATCCGACCCCATAACCATCACCACCGCATCGGCTGCCGCTGCCACATTCTTGGCGGCATCCACTTGAGCGGTCCCACAAGAAACGCCCGAGCATCCCGGGTGGTAGACCGTTGGTACGGAGGCCGTTAGCCCTTGCAACGGCGACGTGTAGTTACACGGTTTCCCTAATAATAATTAAAAAAAAAAAAAGATTATCATAATAATATATTAAAAAAATAATAATAACAACTTTTATCACAAACATTTTTTTTAGTATACCTTCATAGTTGCCAATCATGGTGTGGGTGACAGCAGCATTGGGGCCAATCACAGCCAAGGATTTGATTGCGGTTGGAGACAAGGGCAACGAGCCCGGCCCGTTCTTCAGCAGAACGATGCCTTGTCGGGCAACTTCGCGTGCGAGTTCTTGATTTTGTGGTGTGCAGACATCTTTCGGGCCTAAATTTCCGTATAGTTGGTCTTTCGGGCTTCCGTCGAAAAACCCTAATCGCATCATTGTAGCGAAATTGTTCGAGATTGCTCTGTTGATTGTGGTTTCGTTTAGGAGGCCACGATCCACGGCTGCTTGAGCGTGCTTTGTTAGGAATTCGCCACAGTTAAGATCCAAACCTGCATTGTTCAAAATAAAGATATTAGTACAAATTTGAAAACAGCTAAAATAATTAGATTTTGTTGCATTAATACCCCTATGTTATATTGAATTGTTTAAAAAAACCCTTGGAATGATTTTTTTTTACCACTTAAGCCCCTAACTAGTGAGTTTTTAGGGTAGTTTCCTAAAAACAAATTGAACCGTTGGGGGTACGGTTTTTTCCAATAAAATAACATGAGTTATTTTTTTTAACAATTCGAAAAAATATAGGGGTGCCGAATGCAATAAACCCTAAATATTAGTCCATCCTTGCAAATACTTTTTGTGCATCATTTGCTATATAACAATAATAGAAACCTGAATTGACAGCCAAAGCAGCTGCTTCCTCTGGTGTTTTGGTGTAATGTTGGGCATAGAGAATCTCATTCAGCGAATCGCAGTCCGAAACAATGTACCTAAATGTAAAATAAAAATAAAAATTCGAGTACGATTTTGTTTCAATTTACATCGTATTAGGCAAATAAGAATGTCGATAATTCTTTTTTTTCCAATTTAGGACAAACAAAAATAAGAAATTACCCGTTCAACTTCCATTCGCCTCGAATCACACCGGCCAATAAATCCGGGTCGCCACATGTCGGCTTCCCGTTGACTTGATTATACGAACACATCACACTCGCCACATTCCCATCAAGAACACAGCTCTTGAACGGGGGCTGAAACGTATCATCCATATCTTGTTGCGTCACCTAAGACCAAAAAAAAAAACCCAAAAATTAAAATAAAAATTTCGAAACGCAATCAATTAATTAAAGAATCCATTTTTTTTTTTTTGATAAATACCACAGCATTGAAATTGTATCTCTGTATCCCTTTCCAATTATCGACATCGTAAGCGGTGTAATGTTTACAACAAGCTGCGACTTTGAGCCTCGATTTGTCGCCGTCTTCTCTTTCTTGAAGGCCTCTTACATAAGCCGCAGCGTATTTGCTCGTGAGCAAAGGGTCTTCCCCGGGGGTTTCTTGGCCCCTTCCCCATCGTGGGTCCCGGAAAATATTTACGTTCGGCGACCAAAACGTCAATCCAGCCGATCCCACATTGTACATTGCTCTTGCTTCCGTCGATACCACCTATATAAAAAAAATAATGAAATTTTGATTATTCAAGAATCAAGATATAAAAAACTTTATTTGTTAGGATAAATTTTCCGGTCTGTAGAATCACACCAAACGACGTACTTAATACACGACACCGTAATGAAAACCAATGCTCTTAATTAATATATACAAGGTTGTAAGAAAATAATAATGTTTGTAAAAAACAGAATTTACATTTACTATTCTGCAAGAAATTGTTTTTTTTTTTCTTTTTTTTTTTTTTGCAGAATAAAAGTTGCAGAGAAGTGTTCTTGAACAAGGGATAAAACGACGTCGGATAGTTATTACAATGCTGATGAAAATTCTCCTTAAAATTAAATACAGATCCATATGAATAAATTCAACAAACCACTGTAATAAAAATTCAACCAAAACACACACACACTCAAAGCTCCGATCTTGACAAAAGCCCACATAAGGGAAATGAAAATACACACACACATTTATATATACATATATAACATACATACACGTATATATATATGTGTGCGTATATATATATATATGTTACCTTTCCAATGGCTTGAAACAGAGACTCGTTGAAAGTAGCTCCGGTGAGAATGACCTGAGGGAAGCTGGTGGCGGCGGGAACCGGACCCGTGAACCGGGAGCCACCACCGACATCGGAGACACCGTGTAAAGCCTCCGACCACCACCCGTAACTCGGTATACCGAGTCGACTCACCCCCTTCGCCGCATGCACGAGCCACCCGATCTTCTCCTGCAAAGTCAGCCGAGCCACCAAATCATCCACTCGGGCTTTCACGTCCAAAGACGGGTCGCAGAAGCTGAAGTTTTTCAGGCCCGGATTGCTCGACACGTCGCAGGCGAAAACGGGCTGCGCCTGAGAGCAAACCGGCCCGAAACAGAGTAGTAGTACAATTGAAAGGGAAACTAAAACAGAGCATTCTGCAGGAGCCATTGGAAAGAAAAGAAAAGGGAAGAGAGAGAAAGCTGGAAAAAACGGAGGTGAGAGAAAGTGCGAGCGAGTAAGTGGGAATTTATAGAGAGAGAAGAAGAATTCTTTTTTTTTTTTCAAGATTTATGGGAATGTTTAATTAAATGTTGTTTTGTAGCAACCCGTGATTGATAAATTCTCTTTTAGCAAGAAGATGGTGTTTTGTTTTTGGGGGTCCAATTAAAAAGAAATCTCTCTCTTTCTCTCTCACACACAGACACGCACTTCCACTCTCTCTCTCTCTCTCTCTCTCTCTCTCTCTCTCTCTCTTTCTCTCTCTAGAGTCTAGAGAGAGAAATCTGATGTGAATTTTTGTTATTTACAGAGAGGAAGCGGGTTTGTGTTTTGGGGTTTCCTCCTTTGGATAGATGAGGAAATGCTTGGTTAGAAATGGCGAATGTGGTTGTGGTGGTGGTGGTGGTGGTGGTGATAGATACAGTGTTTGATGTGTGTGTGTATCTATATGTGCAGCAGACCAATATGAATATCTACCTCGGAGGAGTAATAAAGTAATTAAAGTGTTGTTTTTCTTTTACCTTTGTGTTTTGTTTATTCTCTCTGTAGCTCTGCTGTGAAAAAACATCTTCTTTTTTCGGCTTCAGAGGTTCAAGCCGAGCCGGGGAATATGTTTTAATTTTCCTTTTATCAATCACATATGAATATTGCGAAAAGTACATTTTTCATTCCTCAAGTTTGCACCGATTTCATATTTGGTACCCAATATTCAAAAAAAATATATTTTGTCCTTTATGTTTCAAAAATTCAACAGTTTTAACCCTTTTCATCAATTTCTCGTTAAAGATAACGGAATCAAGCGTGTGTCCATCAACTAACGGACTACTAGTAAATTGATGGAAATGGCAAAAAATGTTAAATTATTGAAACATGAAGGACCAAATATATTTTGTCATGTGATTTAATCTTTAATCAGCTGGTTCATAATACGGAGATCCCTCTTTTTAGCTTTTGGGACTTTGATAGAAGAATGTTTACGCTCAATTATTATTCTTACGCACTGTTCTTTCGACTTTGTTAAACGATATGGCACCGAGCTTGCTCATAATGTTGTTGATCAATCTTTGTACAACCGTATTTTAGGAACCTGACTTTTAATTTGGCGAAGTTTGCGTAATAGAAGTTATTCATTTTTTTCCTATTGAAAAAAGAAAAGGTTATTATGAAGATAAAATCCAAAAATGTTTGTGCTACATAAAGAATATTATGAGTATTTCAATCTAAATTATAAAGACTCCCTTTGTTTTGTGTAATGTCATTTAAATATAAATACATTTCAATTAAGAAAGTTATTAAATATTTTGCATTCTTATTTTAGGGAAAAACAAATATTATTTGGCAAAATTACTTTTTATGTGAGTTTTTATCTTCTTTTGCTTGATTTATTAATTAGAATAAGGTTAGACAAAACTAATTCGTTCTCTATTGAATTGTAAAACGACACTTAATATGAATCATTTTTTCTATTAAAATGACATTTAATAAGAAATTGAAAGAGTAACTAGAGAGACTAATTAGAGATGTTCGAATTCTGCTCGTCTCTTACTTTTCATATATAATCAAATTTGAAAAGGAAGAAAATAACAATGAAATTTGTTTTTTTATTAAAAGAAAAAGGTAGGAAGATGTAATTGTTATCTATAAATTAAATACTATTTATATTCTACATTAGAAGCTCGATCAATTAATACTCAATAAATTAATAACTTTATTTAAAATGATTTTTTTTTCGATCCCAACTCGGAAAAAACGTACTAATTTATGAATTCGATAATATTAATATTTCGCTAAATTAATAGGATTTTGTTGATCCCGACTGTATTAATTTATAGAGATTTAATTCAAATGTATATTTTTCAATTTCATTAATTATTATTTTCGACTTATTTTAGTGGATGATAGCCGAGCCGAGCCGAGCTGCGAAAGTTGAAGCCCCAACAATTATAGAAAGTATAAAATTCTGAGTGGAACAGAACTTTTTCACCGTCTCTCTCTAATCATAAGAGGAAGGATTTGAGAGGCTCGTGATTGGTCGGTGACCTCAGCTTTATCACAGCTGTCATTTTTCGCCCTATCCATTAATAATTCGGGCCCGGGCCGGGCCCCCGCTTCATAAACGGGGCAGTTGAGTCATGCATTGTACATGAATTTTCGGGCCTTTTATTTTCATTTAAATAAATATAGCTTAAATTTTAAGGAATTTATTGGTTCCTTTTATTATTTGTGTTATATTGAACTATTAAAAATATTCATTTATAATTAATATTAGACAAAAAAATACATTATGATATTTCTCTACACAACATCTTAAGTGTTGAGCTTTTTCCAAGAGGTGTTTGCTTAAAAAATGGAGTTATTGAAATCTTTTTTTTATGGTATTAATATTAAAGGGGAGTTTTTAGTAATTAGAATAAATGTAAGGTTTTTGAATGCAATAATTAATAGTATTTTGAAATAAAATTGGGCTAAAGCCAAAAGGCTAACGAGTACTAAAAATGAAAAAATTACAGTTTTTTATCCCTCAAGTTTTCACCGATTTCACATTTGAACTATCATGTTCATAAAAGATATATTTTTGTCCCTCATGTTTCAATAATTTAATATCTTTGGTCATTTCCGTCAATTTACCGTTAGTCCGTTAGTTAAGGCAGTGATGGGGACATGTTTGATTCCGAATATTTTAACAAAAATGACTTAAAATGTTGATATTTTAAATATAACAGATAAAAATGTATTTTTTGTGGACACGAAGAGCCAAATGTGAAATCGGTTCAAACTTGAAGGGTGTAAACTCTATTTTTCCCCTACTAAAAGCCATCAAACTCTTTAGTCTTTACTTTAATGGAATTTGGACCATGAGAGTTATTTATTTATTTATTATTTATTTATTTATTATTTATTTATTTATTATTTGCTATTTTTTTTTTTTTTGAAGTACTATGTGGCCTAGTGAGATGAACTCATTACTCACATGTTGCTACTGCTTGTGAAATCATTTTCTAAATGAGTATGATAGTATGACCATGTGTTAATTTGAGGGGAAAATACAGTTTTTATCCATCAAGTTTGCACTGATTTAATATTTGGTCCTTAATGTTTACAAACAACACATTTGCTTCCTCATATTTCAATAATTTAACACTTTTGGTCATTCCGATCAATTTACCCTTAGTCTGTCAGTGAACGGAAAGCGCTTGATTCCATTAGTGCTATCGGAAATTTGACTGAAATAACTAAAAGTGTTGAGCTTTTAAAACATAAGGGATCAAATGTGTTTTTTTGTGAACATGGGGCACCAAATGTGAAATCGATACAAACTTAAGGAATGTAAACTATATTTCTAATTAATTTGACAAATAAAAAATTAAATAAATAACAGTAAAAAGTAGAAAATAAATACAAATAATTGGGTATACAAATATTGTACGTATCCACACATGTGACTCTGGCGAATAGATATAATATCATATACGTATACCACCTTCTCTGTACTACCACTACCTGAGAGAAGGTAATTTCGTTTTCCAAAGGACAGAAAATCTGCAAATTAAATCTACAATATAAATTTATTTCTTCAATTATTTTAATTAATCATAACATATTTTACAATATGATGTACCTACTACATTCTCAAGCATGGTTATTATATCCGAAATATATCTCATATCGTTTTCTTTCACATATCGTAGTGTATTATTTATCGTATCGTAAGATATTTGACTAACTATTAAAAATAGTACATAATGTATATCTATGTAATAAAAATACAATAAACATGTAAAATTTATATTTTTAAGTAAATTTCAAAATAAACATAAATTCAAGTTTCAACATTCGGTTATTAATTAAGACAAAAGTCGTAGTTTTTAGAAATGCTAGTGTCGATTTTATTACCTTTGCTCGTATATAAAAATGCGTTTGATTTATGTGATGATGAACAAATTATTCTGTTTTTATTTGGAGAACAGTAAAATTCATGTGAATCGTTTTTTTTTTTTTGCCTTTGCCTTGATTAAGAAATAAAAAAATGAAAATGAAAAAACATATAATTATTATTTTAAAAACTATGCTGAAAATCGCACAAATCGCCCCCATATGCTGAAAATTCCATATATCACCCCTAAATGTGCTGATAATCGCACAATAACCCCCCAAATGTGCTGAAACTGACAAATCACCACCAAAATAAATACTGTAAATATCGCATCGTATCATATCACGATATGGAGCGATATTTACCTATATTTGAGTACATTCGATACATATGCCGCATTATATCGGTTCCATAGAAATTGTATTTTACCGCGATATTAACTACGTTGTTCTCAAGTCTCGATAATTCAAATTAACTATAAAACAAATTAAATACTAAATTTACAAAAATTCTTCACCAAGAAAATATGAATACATTAATTATCATACATTTTCTTAATTTTCAATTTTCACAAGTTGTATACAAATTTTCAAATATTTAATTATTTAGTGATATTTTTTTATATATAAATACCACTAAAAAATGTTGGAGATGAACCCTCATAATTAATTTATAGGTCAATCAATCAAATTTTTCCAATTATGCCCTATTGCGTACCAAATAAAAATTCAATATCAAGACGTGTTAATCTTAAACGTATTGGAGATTATAGTGCTTAATTAATATATTTATTAAGGGAAAATTACGGCACCTCTGAAGTAAAGTATAATTACGAAAAAAATCCCTCTTGTTTGCATAATTACAACTATCATCAACTATGTATTGTTTTACACGTCCACCCTTACAATATCAAATTTAATTAGGAATGTTCATCCGGTCGGTAAACCGATCAAATCGAACCGAATGACAATTCATACATGCCGAGTACCGAACCGTTAATTCGGTGTGATATTCAGTTTATATATATATATATATATATATATATATATATATATATATATATATATATATATATATATATGTGTGTGTGTGTGTGTGTGTGTGTGTGTGTGGTGTGTGTGTATAATATTAGCATTTAAACTAAAATTAATTAGAAAATCAAAAAAATCAAAATTTTAAATACTTTTATAAAATTTTGGTAATTCGGTTATTTATCGAACCAAACGCTAAACGGTATGAAATTTTGGTGTAGCCAATTTCTGTACAATTTTTCTGAATGAAGGCCCCTAAAATTTTCAACCGGAGGAATTCTTTCGTAAGATAATACATAGTTGAGAGGTGCTTGTAATTATCCAAATATGAGGGGAT